TCCCCCCTGGAAGCGACCTCGTTGAATCCGAGCTCGCTGATTTAAGTGCTCGTTGAATCTGGGTTACTTTTATTGATTTCAAAGAAGAAAAAAAAAACCCACCGGGGAATCAATCTCATCTCGTTGAATCCGAGCTCCACTGTAGATCCTAGATTCTAAAACAAAATAAAGGCAAAAAAGAAAGGAAAAAAAAGTGTGTAGCGCCCTCTTCAGCCCCAACCCGACACCCCTCTCGAGTCTGACTGACACTGGCAGAATCCTCCACAATAAACTCACGTTCTATTACTATCTTTCTTATCATCTCTCTATCTCTACAGAACGCATCTCATCCACAGCATGGTACATGAGAAGTAACTCCACGCAGGACACACGAACAGACCAGTGGGCTACTATGACTACTACTACCTTTACTACCACTACTACTAAAGCCACCAACCCAGAAGGAACAGTAAATGACCGGATTCAACTAATTCAAGGAATACACAATATCCCACAGCCCAAAAGAACACAAACTTCTGCATCCTGAGACCATTCACGGTTCCCTGATCTTAGATCAAGACTTGTCACGCGTGACAGATTGTATTCATGAAGACTGACAATGTGACATTTGTCAGGTCGGCAGGCAACAACATTGAATCGACATTTTACAATGAATGGTTCTTGAACTCTTCACTTCACAAGCACACTTAAGAGACATTGATCCTCACTGCTCTACACTGAAGAAGTGATATTTTTCATATTCCATCACCTCTCCAACTCTCAAACAACCAAATCAGCTGCCAATATCAAAAACATTCTTGAACACAAAATGGTCCTTACAATCCACCAGCCACATCAGGTATTATGCCTTTCAAAAAACCATGGATAAATCCAGTGAACAATAAACATTGTCTTGTAGACAAAAACTTCCGCACACGTGCACATGCACAAACTTCAACGGGGATAACCCACCCACCCCAACACCTGATCAGAACAAACACATTGCTTTGGAATTTGAATTACAGTATTCATCAACTACACAAAGTCTTAACAAATGCAAGAAGGCGGACGTGCAGAGACTGTGACAAGGCTCCAGTGTCTCTCTACCCCCCCCCCCCCCCCCCCCCAGTAAACTAGTTAGTTTTAGTAGAGGTTTTACGGCGTTCGCAACTGCATAAGGTCATATGAGCACCAGAAGATTTGAGGTGTTACAAGAGAGTAACAAACATAAAAAAGAAGAAGGGGAGATAAGGACGATAGATGTTTCATAGGAAAGAAGAAGCATACCATACTAGAGCACCCGCCAACCACCCACGTAGTAAACTACTGTAAACAGTTTGCGGACAGAACGGAAAGACACAAAGCATAACAATTGCGCCCACAGATCAATGGGAGGCCGACATACATCCTGGACAACATGCTCCTACAGAAAGCCCCCCCCCCCCTTCTCTTGTGTGAACTGAAGCACATCAACAGAAAGACAGTAACTGAAATGTTCGAGGAAAGGTTAGACAGATATAAAGAGTAACAAGGAAATAAGGGAAATGAAAGAAGTAGGACCTACTAGAGACAAGAAGTAGGACGTACTAGTGACCCTCCTCCAAAACCACCCAACTCAACTAAAGGACATCATCATATTACGACACTACACTGTAAAAAAAAAAATCCTCTCCATTGTACCACTACAGAAACCCCCTCTCCAGAGACAGTGTTGACATTCTTTTTTAAAAACTCGACTAGGTATCAGCGAAGGCAACATATATATTATATCTATAGTATGTATATTGACAGGAAAAAGGCCAGAGAAAATGTGACCTTTCTCCTTTCACTAGAAGCAGCTGGACCCTGTCTACTGTCTATGATGATAAAAAAAAGAACCACAAGAGGAGAGACAAAGCACTCCGTGATAAAACTCATCCTTTTCCCAATGCTTGATTATAAACAGAACACCAGCAGTCTCACAAACCATGGGATCAGCTGTCTACAGTAAATACAACTCTCAGTTAAGTCTCTGACCTCTATTCAGTAACAGGAACCCATAAATGCATGCACACAAGCACACACACACAAATACTCACAGGGACAATTTTCGGCAAACTCCTTTATCCTGCAGACAAGTACTTTGAAGTACACACACAACCAAACATCCTCCTCCTCCTATACTTCCTAGACCTTACAGAGTGATCTCCGAGACCTTCCTCCTGCTTTCTTATTGTTTGAGTTTCAGCAGGAGTTTTACAGCACTTGTGACACAATTAAGTCATCATAAGTGCCGAAGATTAGGTGTTATCAAAGAGTAACACATAAAGAAAAGAAGGCGGGATAGGGACGACAGATGTTTGATGGGAAAAAAAGGAGCAAACCACACCAGAGCACCTGCTAACCATCCAACAACACACAAATAAACTCCACAAATATTACTGCAAAGAATCAAAGAGATGGAATCACCAAGTTCTCAAGTTTAGTCAAACATACCCTGTGTCAGAAAAAGACAATAAGTAGACAAAAACATTTCACTCATAATGGTCAACATTTCACCCAAAAACCTACAACCAATGTGAGAAACAAGAGGCTGCATTGATATGTTCCAACAAGAACTGGCCTAAAGAGGGAGAGACTGTCACAACAAGCGTGGAATACAAACATACAAGCTTCTCCCTCAGGTATCACAGCAACATGCTCAGTCATCAGTCGTCTCTCGTTAACCATTCTTGGCTTTCTTCGACAACTTTTTAAGTACACTGGAACAGCATCAGCTTTCCCAGAATGTTTTCATTAAGAGGGGGGAAGTGTAGTGTTAAAAAAATGTCACTAGACTTTTATGCCCCTATCAACACTATTTACATCATTTAAGAGGACAGCTGCTTCAACCCTGCCTGTCAGGGCCAACCCTGGATAAAAAGGATACGACATCCCTGCAGATTGACCAAGATGCTTGATCAGACACATCTGCACATTAGAATCAGCTCGTGAAGTTTTCCACGCAACGGCTCAAGCAGCTGCATCCAAAAGTGTAAGATCAAGAGAGCATTATACACTCACGAGACTGCTTGTCTCCACCATTGGACAAGTCATTCTTCATGTGAGAGAATCAAAAGCCTGCTGTAATCCCCTGGTCATATTCTGGCCGTAAACACCACAATCAAGTGGACAGGCTGCCGGTCATGGAGTTAACACACAGCGTATAGTGCAAAGGAACAAAACATTTACACAAAACACACTCTCTTGATTTGCACAAAGGAATCACAACTGCCAGAACCCAAGAGAAAAAAACAAAGATTATTATCAGGTTTTCACATTCTCAAACATAAACACAGAGAATCGGATAAGTTGTTACAGGGAAGACGTATGTCAAAGAGTACCTTAACTCCCAAAACAACAACAAAAAAAGTTATTTCACAAAGAAATTGCTACGTACCTTTGACAATGTGTTTAACCAATATCAACACCAGCCCAAATAGAGCATAGAGACAGTTACCACCCCTGTAACCCTCACACCCATATGCCCTTCCCTCCTCTTACACTATTAACTTTATCTCTCAATTTAAAAAAAAGAAGTTTATATTATATTCAAACTTTCCAAAACTTGTGACAGCCGTTAAAATGGGACTTCAATGTCACAGTTGCCCCGACTAGTTCTTGGAGAGTTTCGGTTTAGTTTTAATAATAGTTTTACTGCACTTGCAACATAAAACAGGTCAGATAAAACTGAAGTCTAAGTGGAAATAAATTCCACCAAAATAATAATGCCCAACAATAAGGAAGGCTGACCTCTACACAACAACCTGGAAATACTTTCCTTTTCACTTCAATGATAATAACAAGTTTGTCCATCAGTGTCCGACGATGACCAATGCAACCATAGAGGAGAATATTTCTTAAGTGAAACTGAACAACATAAAAAATTAGATGACTTGTGGCTTCTGCTAGAGCCAATGAGACCAAACCTGGCAGAAAATCCCCCGACATAAACCAAACACAATATTACCACAAAATCATTCAATACAAAGTGAAGAAAAAAAACTCAAAGATACACACCTTCCAACCAACCCCCTCTCCCGCACACACCCGTATCAAAAGGAGAAGCAACACAGCTGGAAAATCATCATCACACTGTGGCTACTTGTGGCAGTGTTCCTATAAGAAACAGTATTGTGTGATCACATACACACTCACACTCTGCACTACACAAAACACACGGAAGAGCCTGCATTATTTTTGACATTACAAGACCCAGAACCAGCCGGATCATCAAGACAAAAAAACTAATGAGCTCCCACTTCTCATACTAAGAAACCGACAAACTGGCAACTAAGGAGAGAACACACATGTGACTGTGTGTCAAAACACTAGGAACACACTGTGTGTGTCAAAACGCGTGGAACACACGGGGTGTGTTCTTTTAGTAAGAGTTTTACAGCGCTCGCAACTGCATAAGGTCATATGAGCACATCAGTGTGTGTGTGTGTGTTGAAACACATGGAATACATAGTGTGTGTGTGTGTCAAAACATGGGAAACCCACAATGTGTCAAAATATGGAGAACACACAGTGTGTTGGTATGCAGGGAACAAACACTGTGTCAAAAACATGGGAAACACACACTGTGTATATTGCTATATCTCTTCTAACAGTTTCCAAGCTGTGCCATCTCTACTGATCGGCAATGGTGAGGACGTCAGGGGGGTGGTGGTGGATCTGAATTGTGTCCCTTCAAGTTGACCAATCCGAGTCACCTCTATGTACAGGGTAAATCTTGGGGGGGGGGGCTGATATCAGTCGAACAAGCTGTGGTAAACATGAGCAGCTCCCAACAAATTTCCTATCCTAACAGGAAGATCCTGGGTGACAGTGGAGAGGTTCTGGTCTTTCTTCACGGTGGTGTGGGTGTGGACCTAAGCCACTTGTATCTAGAAGATTCCCAAACACGTGTCATCTTCAAGTTCCAGGAGATCCTTTCTCCAGGGTGCAAGTGTGGACCTGAGCTGTGTGTCTCTAGAAGACTCCCAACACGTGTCATCACCAAGTTTCGGGACATCCTTTTGTCAGGGTGCAGTGGTGGTCCGGAGCTGAGTCTTGAGCAGGGAGGTGCTGGGCTGGTTGTGCAGGTACTGGGAGGAGGAAAGAAGCGGCATGGAGGAGAACCGCGCGCTAGACGAAGACATAGCCGAGGAGGCCGAGTGATGGACGGACAGGGAGGAGGAAGAGAAGTCACGGCCACTGCCAGCCAGCCGGTGATCGGGGGCCTGGTCCACAATGCTGAACACAAACTGTAGACAGCCCACCTTGACCGCGCTGCCGTGGTGTAGTAAGGCCGTGCCCTCCCAGCCCGCCCCACTCCCACCAATCAGGCTGGACCCGCTCCCCCTACAGCTGCAGGCGCAGATCCCCTGTGGGAGGGATAAGAACATGGTCGTAACGTGAAGGGTGGGAAGAAGCATATCACCACAATAAGTCCATTTAGTACAAACAAATTAATCTTAGTTTTAGTAAGACTTTTACATCGCTTGAAACACAACGAAGTCATATATGTGTTCAAGATTAGAGGTGTTTCTAGAGATTAACACAGAAGTAAAAAAAAAAAAAGGAAGATAGGTAAATCCATGTAAAAGAAGGAACAAACCACACCAGAGTACCCACCAACCGCCCATGCAAGAACAAAGCAAGACAGAAAAAGATCCAATGGAAGATTTTAAAAGTAGAACATACCAGTGGTGCCCTCCAACCACCCGACAGAGAGACACAGCTACGACAAACAGATGAACTCCTTTTTAACAGTACGCGACCTCAGTGCTTTCTAGTCTTCATTTTTAAAACAGTAAAAACAGTTCATAAGAAAGAGTGAGCTTTAGAAGAAGTCACATTTTCAAGAGGCGCCCACTTACTTCCTGAGCCTTGGCCGACATTTTCAGCTTGTCTGTGTCCCTGATCTCCGACTGCGTCCAGGCGGCGCGTGACTTGGCCCCGCCTTTAGAGCGCCCCTTGCCCCCGATGATGCCCCGTACAGCGGCCACCACAGGCAGGGGTTGAGGGGTGGTGGCCGGTTTGTCCGAGAAGTCACAGGAGTAGAGAACGTTGTCCACCGTGGTGCCATGCTCGCTGTAGTTGAGCAGCTCAAAGTGACGACTCATCTACACCACACACAACAACGTTAGAATAGACTCAAATCAGTTTGTTTAAGTAAGAGTTCAACAGCACTTGCAACACAAGGTCACACAAGTGCTGAATATAGAAGGTGTTACAGATGAACAACAAACGCACAAAAAGGAGGGGGAGATAAGCTCTATAGATGTCTGATAGGAAAGGAGGAGAAAACCACACTAGAGCACCCGCCAACCATCCACAATCAGTTTCTGCTAGGTTAACAAACAAAAAAATAGGTAAAAAAGTCACATCGACATAAACAGACATTTAGCCCATGGAAAAAGCAAGAAAGACAGGCAGAAAGAAAGGAACAAAGAAAAGAATTCAAAGGGAAGAAGAAAAATAGTCACAAATAAAACAAGTAAATGGCCACCCACCTTCACCCCATGTTAATATGTTATTGTGCAACTGATATTAATGTTGGACCCATGTTTAGTTGACCATATTGAACCAGGTCAGTCCAGTACATCTCAAATATAACTCAGACCAAAGGTACTGAGAACTGAATTTTTTTATTTTTTATTTTTATAGTAGAGGGTTTTACGGCGCTCGCAACTGCATAAGGTCATATGAGCGCCAAGGGGTGGGTGTCAACAGAGAAGTCTTTACAGGGAATCAAGACTTATTCTGCTCACCTCTCTAGCTTCAACAGCAAAAGGTCTGCTTCGACTATCAAGGCACCCCAAAAATAGCAGGTCACAAGAGAGTGACAAACATACAAAAGAAGTAGAGGAAAATGACAATAGTAAGGATTAGGAAAGAAAAGGCAGCAGTTCCCTGTTGTAGATCAGACACATTTATGAGCGTGACATGAATCAGCCCATTTACAATTCTACTGTGCTTGAACGAGAAATGTCCCCCCTTTGGGAATGGCCTAAAGACACTGCAGTCAGTGGCACTACCCCGAGGGGCGACTGAATTTCTCAGCAAGTGACAACACAAAAATGTAGCATCACAAAGACTGACTGAGTTTGCATTATCACGACCGGTTCATCCTCAGGAAAACTATGCATCTTTTGGGTGGAAACATTATGGAACAATACATCTGAACAAAACATGAAATTGAAAGCACATCCAAACAATAGTACAGAACAATTTTTAAAATGGACACCCACCTCATCATAGAAAATGGTTGCATGATGGCCAGAAATAAAATTGCAGTGGCCAAATTCACTAAGACACACATCCATATCTGCACCTAGAAGAAAAAAAAAGACCATTAAACACAATGAAAGCAGAATATATGGCTTGTTGCATCATTTAGCCATGATGTCAATATAGCAATACAACAACAGGGGGCCATGACGAAGACTTTGCATTAAAAAATCCTACAAAGTAAATATACTTTATCGGGAGGGGTTTTCTCTTTCATAAAAACACAAAGATAAGTAGAGTTTCGGGTGAAAAGTGTAAACTAAAGCAACCGCAATAGGCCAGGTGATTGAACACTTTTCTTTTGCTATTTGTAAGTCAACACAGATTCCTGTAGTTTGTATTACAGTATATGCATTGCCTGCACTATGAGAGAACAAAGTTATGCCCCTGAGATCTGAAAAACCACTAACAGAAGTAATAATAGTAATGATAATAATAAGAATAATATTTATAGAGCGCATACCCCTGCTCAACAGTAAGCTCTATGCACTTTACAATCTGTATCTTTACCAGCAGACCCCATTCAAAAACATTCTCAGCTTCCTTGGAAAATTACAATGCAAGAAGCTGATTCAGCAATAAAACATTAGCAAACTGACAAGATTTTTCACTGTCTGGGGCCAGGTACCCATTCCCATCTGGGTGCAGTGAGGAAAATTCCTATAAAGCGCCTTGCCGCAAGGAGTCCGAGAGCCTAACCACAATGTCATCGACACCACACACTGCCTAAACAAAAGAATCACTTCCCACACCTATTGTCACACAACAAGTTCTAAAACAGTACCAACCTGTGCCCAGACTGAGAGACCTGTACGGCATCGGAATGGCTTGACCTTTGCCAGACAGGGGACATAACACAGCTCTTGCTCGAACTTCAGCATTACCTGAAGAAAAAAACCCCCATTGCATAAGGACTTCTGCCTCTAACCCAACATAGACAAATTTTCTCCAGTTTAGCCTTGTTTTTGGTTTAGACAGATTGCTCCAACAGAGAGGGAAAAAAAAAATATTTTCTTTAATGTTTGTCATCGTTTTTAGACTAACCCTGTTCAGTTTAGGCGGACTCCACCGTACATCATTTTTTTGATCTCACATCTCAGCTACAAAGTTAATTTCTCACCTAAAATAGTCAAATCAATAACAATACAAAACTGAAAAAGAAAAACAGGTATGGTAATTAATTCTTTTTATAACGTATATTTTAATAAGTATGTTGTTTTAGTGAGAGCTTTACAGCACTTGAAACACAATCAGGTCGAATACGTGTCAAAGATTAGAGGCGTTACAAGAGAGCAACAAACACACACAAAAGGAGGAAGTGAGTACCAATATGTACCATAAGTGAGAACATTTCCCAACATAAGATACAATAAGCAGAAAGCTAAGACAGCCAAACCTACTAGCTGGTGTAGGAACCTATCCCGTGGGAGGCGGGCAACTTACTCTGCTGCGACAGGTATGCATTGAGAAGTCCTTTCTTCCCTGAGGAGCTGGAGGAGGAGGTGACAGACGTGCTGCTGCTTGACATGCTGGAGGTGGCAGCCGGGAGCTGGCTGCAGCTGGACTTGGACGAGGGTAAAAGCTGCTGCAGACGCTGCCAGGCCAACAGCTGGGTCAGCTTCTCATCAAACTTGGTGAGCTCAAAATCTGCAGATAAATTAACACCAAGAAAGCGTCAAGACTGTTCGTTTGAGTCAACAGAAGCACATGGACACAACAACTGTCACTGAGTGCAAGAAAAGAGTAAGACAAAAAGAAAAGAAGATGGACCTACAAGTGCCCCATTGAAACATCAGCAATGCCTAATTTGAGGAGTTTGGAACCCAGAGAAGACCGAACCAGTGGATACTCAACATATCACACTACAGTGTGGACAATGGTTGCTACTCCACAGACTCACATCTCAGTCCACATCAGACTTCATTTTTCTCAAACCACAAACCTCATAATTATTTCTTTAGTTAACAATAATTGCCCTTGATTTCCCTTGCCTTGATACACACAACACGTGCCGATCTTTTCCCTAACCCCTGATACACACAAGAATACTTGCTGACCTTTTCTTAAACCCCCGATTCACTAGTGCTGGGCGGTACTGGCGAAACCCAGTGTCGCTACTTTCTAGGCACCGCCAGTGTGAGTGACACCAGGAGGTGATGTCACAGACTGTGTCTCGCGTCGATCAGCGCGGCCCGCATCATCCCCCCTGCCCCCTAAAAAAATCACACGCCCACACAAGTAACAATTGGAGAGGTGAACTGTGACGCAAAATACCTTTGAAGTTTGCTGTCGTGCGGAATTAAACTTTGCATGCAGAATTTTTTAAATAATTATCGCCGCAAAAAATTAATTTTATTTTCGGAATCAGCGTATCAAAATAAGCCAAGTGGCTAGCGTGAAACCTGATTTGAAGCCATATTTAATTTTAAGCAAACTGTTTTGAGTGTCAATTTTGAATGTAAGCTATGTATCAAGGTAACCCGTTGCGTTATACATCTTACGTCACAGCTGCTAGGCCTAGGCCTACTTTACTTTTACTTTTCCGATCCAGCGGCCATTTGGGTTCTAGCCCTTCGGTCTGAGCCTAGGCCTACACACTGCACATTTCCCATGGCCCGGTAAAAAGCCGTTGGTGTTGGCTCCTTCCCAGAGCTGGTACTGGAGGCCTGGTGCCGGTACTGACACCTCCTTCGGTAGAACCGGGAGTTCCGTTACCGGGTACCGGTACCTGCCCATCCCTATGATACACACAAGAACACTTGATATTTTCCTGACTAATCACACACAACATCACTGACTAATCTGTCCCTAACTCTAGACATACACTAAAACACCGGTCTTTTCCCAAGCTCTGAACACAAAAAACAACACCATCCCCTCTCCCCCCTCCCACACACACACAAATATTTCTTGATCTTTTCTCTAGCTCTGGACACACAAAACAAGTTCACTCCATGACCACCTACCTGCCCCTTCAGAAATCCATTGCTGCAGAGCTTGGTTAAGATTCTGAACAGCAGGAAGAATACTGCTGACTGATGAATTACCCGACTTTCCAAAAGAAACCGACACGTTATTGTTGTTGTTGCTGTTTGATCGACCTGAAAATGAGAATCAAAACAATTGCTCACTTAGTCACTGTCTTATATGGCGTGACAAAATTTTGTCTCTACTGATTAACAATCCTAAAGCCTGATTACTTCTTTGTATTTTTAAAAAAACAAGCGATTTCATGAGACCCAGGAATACCAAATATCAGTTCATCTTGTTTGTTTCAGTAAAGGGAAGCACATTGACACAATAACAGCCACCAGTGGGTGGAAAAAAGCAAGGTTAACAGACAGTGACAAAAGAGACAGAGAAAAGAAGAAATGGCTCCTTCTTACTGCTGTCTTTCAGCCACACTCCGGATCTTCTGGTAGGAAAGATCTATACCTAGCCTTCTCGGACAAGGGTGAAAAATCTCGGAGGTCCTGTGAGCAAGTTGCGGAAGTTAAAGATCCCTTGGTAGTCCAAAATTGATAGGATTAGGCTTCGGCTGCCACCCGGGCAAAAATTCCAAACTTCCTACCAACTGAAAATGTTTAGTGTGTCCCGCGCGCTCATATGACCCTATGCAGTTGCGAGCACCATAAAACACTAACAACAACAAAATATATTAAACAAACATATAAGGGAAACGATTCAATACATGCTTTTCACAACAAAGTGGCAAGAAAGGAGCCAGCCACTCCACTGACCTAGAGCAGTGGCCGACACTGTGATGACTTTTGGTCCCACCACGGTGGTGCTGGAGGTAGAAGCTGCCTTAGAAGGTTGAACCAGGAGTCGCTGGGGCTGGGGACTGTTGTTGTTGCTGCTGCTGCTGCCTAAGTTGACACTGTTAGTGTGGCCCACTGTCTTGCTGCCGGGCAATATTACCTGATCAAATTATCACCAAAGAAAACAAGGTGAGTCACTAGTGAACAAGCACTGAGTAAAGCAAATACATGAGCGTGGCTACACACTGAGAAAAGCCATGTTCATACTCAAGGCAATACACTGTCTGTGTACAGGAGAACAGGAAACTAAAATCACGTCAAGCTCTCATTTCAACAGAAAGACATACAGGAGCACATACAAAAACCAGTTGCACCTTGGAAGTGAGAATCTGAGAACAGTAGGTTTGATACAGGAAATAATATATATGCAAAAGGAAACAACATTTAGCAAGGGTAGATCATGACAAAACAGCTCCCACACTGACACAACATTGTAAAACCTGCTAACCTACCAGATAACTTTCTTTCTCAAACCACAACAAGGTATAATCTTAGCCTCAAGAACACACAAGATCCAACCTATGCCTTCTAATCAGATACAGATATACCCAGACTCAACCATCTTCACCCTCTATGCCCAAAAAAAAAAGATTCTCACCTTCGCCGTCTGAGAGATTCCCGGCAAGACTTTGGTGACAACAGTATTGTTCTTGTTGAAAGTGTTGATGACAATACTCTTACTGCTGCTGCCATCACTGTTGCCGTTGACTGCCATGACATCCGCATGGTCTCCCTGAGCCCAGTCCGACTTGCCAGAAGGGGAGGGAACCGAGTCCGCACTATTGCTGCGTGGCCGAGGCGGGGCCTCCGAGTGTTTCCTCTCCTCCAAACTGTCTAACATCTCCACATCACACATGTCCAAGTCTCCATTCAAGGCAGGAACATCCACTGAATTATTGCTTACTCCATTGTTATTGTTATACGTTTTCCCAACAGTGCTGTTGTGCAACAATGAAAACGAATTTCCAGTCCTGTTTGGTGCACAACTGTTTCTGTCTGCTGCTAGTCCACCAAAGTTTGACTTTAGCTCTCCGTTAACAAGTGCCGTTGAACATTGTTGCTGAAACTTATTATCACAGTCGAGGGATTCGTGCGCAGTATTGGTTGACGATGATGATGAAGATGAAGATGATGAGGAGGAAGAGGATAATTTAGAAGACTCCATGAAAATATCGGAGGGAACGGATGAGGACGTGGTAGTCACACACAATTCAGCGTCTTTTTGTACAACAGGCGCCACAGAGGCCGTAGGTTTGTGAGACGCTAAAGTAGAATCGGAACACTTGAGACCATCAAACGTTTTCTGCAACTGCCTCTGGGCCATGAATTTAGCCACACTGGACTGCATGGACACCACACTTGAAAGCCACTGAAAACAGACACATAAATTCTGTTGAAAGGGTGTGCAAGTACGCATCTACCAGTAAATTGTAAAGCTGAAAAGACATTCAATACCAAAACCATTTTGCCCAGTTACAGAAGAGGCCTTTGAAAAACGATTCTCCGTCAAGGAGAACTAGATCTACAAAAAGGGAAGAGCCAGAGCAGATTCAAATGCAATCCAATACTGTATACAAACCGTGGCATTGCACTGTGGCAACTAGAAATGGAACACTTGTACAAATATCTGAAAAAGTATGACATTGAATGTGACCGTTGAATTATTTTATGCCTGCATTGTTACAGCACATTCACCACCATAACCAAATTTCCCCACAGGAATAGTCCATATCCACACACCTGGTCACTTCTCAGGATGGGTATCTAGCCCTCACACACCCTAAATGCAATGAGGGGGGGGGGGAGAGAGAGAGAGAGAAAGAGAGAGAGAGAGAGAGAGGGGGGGGGAGTGTGTGTGTGGGGGGGGGGGATAAAAAGATTGGGTTCAAACTAAGTACATAAGATTTCAAAACAACTGGAAAATGTTCCCTTTACCTCTTCTTGTTCATCTAAGGTGGCTGCATAGGTTCCCCTGGCCCCCGGCAACTCGTGTGCAGCAGTAGCAGGAGGCGGTCCCCTGAAGGGGTCTGGTAAAAGAGGGGCTGGGTTCTCGTAGAAGTGTTTGATGGCTGGAGGCACCTGGAGAAAGACAAAAGGACATTTTTCAGAAATAACGCAGGAACTTGGGGGTGGTGGTTTCACAGCAGAGAAGCATGTACAACAAGGGGCTTACTGCTAACAAGACAGTTTTCCTGATTTGGGGGGGATGGGGGTTCCCCGGGTATTTGCCTGCTAATCTTAGAGGCAATCTTTCTTTACCAAAACTAATGAAATTCAACAGTTACTGTAAAATTTATCAGTATCTTTAAATATGTAATGTGGCTGAAAAAAAAAAAACTAAGAAAAAACTTACGCTTATGGTTGGCCGTGCCGGCAGTTTCCTCTTGAGTCTGAACATGGGATCTTTGCGGTGAACCTTATTGAGGAAGTCCACCTTGACAGTGTGACTGTCCACTAACCCCGAGTACCGGTCCCACAGCCGTAATCTCTCTGTCAGGCTCTGGCTCCTCAGTAAATGGGAATCCTGTAGTAGACATATTATAGAGAATGGGATCAACATTGGGGAAACTTGTTTTCCACTGACTTCACAGACATATGGACCTAGATCCACTAGTAAGACTGTGTCTAACAGCAAATGTTGAAAAACATGTTTTTTGTTGACAAATAGTGTACTTCAGCTCAAACAAAAATATTCTGAAGGAGTTCAAAGCACAAACATTTCTAGCTTTCTTGTTAGTGAATACAGCTTTTTTTAGTAAAGGTTTTATGGCACTCCCAACTGCATACGGTCATATGAGCACCAGACGATTAGAGGTGTTACAAGAGAGTAACAAACATAAAAAAGAAGAAGGGGAAATAAGGACGATAGATGTTTGATAGGAAAGAAGGAGCAAACCACACCAGAACACCCTCCAACCACAGCAAAGAATACAACAAATGTAGATGGTAGGTTAGTTCCGCATAGCATTCAACGTTTGCCTTTCTAAACAACCTTCCCCATGACTGTAAGGCTAGGAAACCATTTATCCCCCCAAAAAATCCTCTTTAATTAATGCAGTTACATCAAGTGATAGACTATAGTTTGGGATTATATTTACTAAGATTTACTACAGTGTTTTGATTATTTATAACATGTTATAACATCACCACCAACGGCTCAGAAATTGATTCCAAGAGGTAAAAAAACTAATTCAAGTTTTAGGGGAAGAAGCACAATTTAACTCGCGAGACCACAAAAAAACCCCAGTTAACTCTGAAATTGTTTCAGTACAAAGACAACTTCACCCCCCCCCCCCCTAACAAAATCCATAATAAAGTGGCAGGTAGCAGCAAACATTTTCAACAACAAAACCCACCAGGAAATGTTCCACATGATTCGGGCACATCCATCGTCCAGTGGGCAGTGAGGTGAGGGGAGGGTTCAGGCAGTCCAAGTGAAACAAGAGAGGACAGAAGTCACACTGGATCAGTGGTGCTATCCGGCAGCTCCTAAGAAAGAAAAAAAGAGAAACAAAGTCAGTGGGCAAACATCACCTTCATTGCTTATTTGAGTAAAGAGAAGCACATAACACAACAATGATCATTTAGTGCAGTATAACACAACAATGATCATTTAGTGCAGGTTAAAAAGTAAGACAGACAGAGCCATGAACAACAAAATGAAAGAAAAATAAAGGACCTACTTGTAACACCTTCTGACCACCCGCTTCACCATTACAAGATGTCACATCGTCATTCATCCACATGCCAAGACAATAGACTTTTTGTTCCAAGTATCTACATATTCTGAGAACTCAGAACAAACAACAACATAGCACATGTACTTGTTTCTTATGGTCACCCTCTTCCCAACAGGAAACATTTTTTTTTTTTAAAAAGACAAAACAATCGTGACCGAGTGAAAAATCCAACTCCATATCCAAAGACCCATATTTGGTGACAAAAATTTGTTTTCAAATCAGTGCTTTTTAAAAAAAAGTGCCGGAAAGGGAAATTTAACTAATGTAGCAATACCAATCGGGCTTCCGCTTGCAGCGAAATTTTGGTCCCCGTTTTCAGATGAATTTTTGGACCAGGTCAGAGCGCAAGTGACTAACTTTCTCGAGCTCGTTCTGCGCTATCTCTGGATCAATGTGAATGAAACTTGGCAACCAATCACAAAATAGGGCAAACTAATGATATGAAGCGTCGAAAATCGTACATATAAATTAACCTAAACTTTTGGTGTCGAAAACACTTTTATATCGGGTACACCGAAAACTATAAGGAACTTGATATTCAACGTCGAGAAGGTATAAGACCTATCTTTCCTCTGTAGTGTGCTCAAATTTTAATCTTCTGTGTCAAGTAGTTGTTTAGAATTTATCATAAATGTACCACTACCCCCCTGTCCACAGCGGCTTCACACGGAGACCGGCCATTTTCCCCTCACTCCCTCAGCAAATGTATGTGACCTACAAACCCCCGCATGACTATTCCGAGCCCGTTCATTGGTCACTTGAAATAGGTAAAGGCGCGCACGCGCATCCCGTTGTTTTTCTGTTCCCCTGTAACATTGTAATGGGGGTATTCCGAGGCGAGAAGCCTCGAAGTGTTGCGTGTCTCGGGGGGGGGGGAGGGGGGGGGGAGTTTTAATTGAACAGCATGCTTGATTGACTTAACTTACATTATAAGGTTGGCATGGTCTAAAGTCATCAAAGAAAGCTTTGCTATTATTTAGTCACGCTGCAAACATTCTTAAAGTTGCCATGTTGCGATACGATGCTATAAATAAAATCCCCTTATCCCGAAACCCCTTTCTCGCAAAATCGAAATATATACACCAAAATTTTAATTATAACAAAATAACTACAAAATGGTTTGTAAATCTGACTGCAAAAATGATTTCTCCACCCAAAAACACAATGGGAAGCGAAGATTCTAACTCCAATTAATTACTGAGATACCGTCGATTTTCTTACACAATCTGCTACTGCGTGGTACACTTTTAGGAGTATTTTCTTATATATATATATGTGGTTCATCCATATTTTGCCAAACTTTACAACCTCATCATTACTTTTTTTTATTTATGAACCGATTCTTAAAATTCAAAAGCATAATTCTTAGAATTGAAAACGTTCAAATTACCAAATAAAAAAGGGCCAAAGCAAAAAATTTAATTTTCATTGGCATTGCTAACTAATGTGTCTAGAAAAAGGCTGATTAGCACATTCCAATTGAGAAAATACATACTTGTCATCAAAGTTCAGCCAAAAGGTTTGGGTAGATTGCTGCACTGTATAAGGAGCTTCCAGCAATTGATGTCATTTTCCGAGATGTTTGAGATTTTTTTATTATTTCAGGGCATCCTAAGTATGTCATTTCTGGCTATTCAAGCCTAAATTTAACAAGAACATTTACAAGTTAGAAAAAAACGAGATTACCTTGCACATAATTTTCTGCTTACGTGTTAATCCATATATAAATCCAAGGCTATGCTTTCTCCCTTGTACCCATACTGCACATCATAACAGTAGTATAACAGCTAGATCTATAAAACTTGACAGTTAATGTTCAACTTTTTTCTGCTTGTGTGTTGGTTTGCACCATGACGATAATGTGTAGAATCGTTATAATAGTATAACAGCTAGATCTAAATAACTTGACAGCTTATATTCAACTTAAATCCGCAATATTTGCAAAAAAACAAGTCTTTAAAAAAAAAAAAAAATCAAGCTCTCTTTAGAATTTTCTTTTTTTTTGGCAGGCCACAGATCTATCAAACCACATCTGGTTTACTGTGCTGGTGCACTGCTTCTTGTGCTTTAGAAAGTGAAAGACACTGTCTACACCTTCAAATAAAAGAGCACTTCCGGCATGGGTTGGCTATTGTTGACTATTAGTAATTACGGAAATTTTTCAAAATTAAACATCTTTTTAGCACGACTTTTTACGGAAATTTTTCCATTTTCCGAAATCCGCAAATTACGGAAGACTGGAAGCACTGTGTATAGGTAGCAGAGATACGGGGAGAAAAATGACTATATGGTAGGAAAACTTTCCAGGGCCCCAAAAGCCATGGATTTCTACAAATAAACTGTTGTTTAATGTAACTATCAAGAAGTTGAACCAACTTGCTTATGAGCATAGCCACTTTGTAATAAACATTTGCTGTGACAAAGAGACCAACTTTACAGGTATTTAAACACCCCCTCCCATGTTCCCACTACCAAATTTTTTAAAAATTACACTGTGACAATTTAAACCCTTTCCAGAACAAATCGAAAAACTTGTTCAATTTTTTTTTTTAAATAACAATAAAAGGCAAACTAGATGCTGAAAATGAATTAATTGAAAGACTATTGAGGAGATGTGACATCAAAAGCAGACTCAAGAATCATCCCTAATCTTTTACTTCTTGGACAAGTTGCCAAAACTGCAATACCTACTTGTTACAAGTAAAGCAAACTTTCGCTGGCAGGGGAACCAGGCCGTTATCCAGCTCATGGCTTTGCTTCTTGGGCAGGTTTCTCGCCGCTTTTCCATACAATCTCTTGCTGCTCCCTGTAAACAGTACCAGAATGAACAGCTGCCAACTTTTCAATACCAAAAAACAAGACTAGATAAGCAGCAGGTCAAGATGGTGCACACTGAACTGGACAAGTAAACCCCTCCCCCTCTTCCAACCCCCCGCACAACACACTTTTCTGTATTCAATTAATGCAAGCAATTCATGGCAGACCTGCAAGGATGTTTGACAAAGATCTCTAAAAAAAACTTAAGCTTCCTTCTCATTAGTACTCGCAAATCCAGTGTATAAAGTTCATATTTTTCAGCATCACCAAATAAATATTTGTGTGTGTGCCTGGAGAAAGACTTCAGTTGTCGGAAATTATGGATGTTGAAATAAAGGCCTCTTTTGTAGCAAATTCTATGCTGAACACGATATTTAAATTGTGCAAATATCTAGAGAGTAGTTTTGTCAGCAGGCGTGTTATAGATGTGCAACGAATGCTGTCGCTAAAAGATTGTATTCACGCACACTCGGTTCGACAGTGTAGGGGAGATAATGCTGAAAATTATGGTACAAATTGTGATGGGGTTTGAATGGTAATTTGTGTCGAGAAGTGATCAAAGTAACCTTAGAATGTTAACCCTATTTCTAGTACATTTTTAACATTTGGTGAAGCAAATGTTACAAAACTAATAAATAAGGAAATATTTAAGACTTAAAATATTATAAAATCCTCTCAATGTTATATTAAGAAATAGTTAAACCTGTGTTTTCTAATAGAACTATATTTTTGACCAGGTACGATTTTTTGGCCTTTTCACCCCATTGTTCAAAAATAACTGCCAACAACTGGGACCTTACTTCAGGTGCGCTCGCATTTACTGACAAAAAAAAAAAAAAGACTTCCGTCCTCAATTCTTCAAAATCGCATTAAGTATGTTTCTTTTACATACTGGTTGGCAGCTATGAACATGACCCGACTCTTTTCTTCTAAAAAGACTACCCTGTGCCCTGGAACAAAAACAACCATGGCTCACAGTCAAACACTGATGTACACCATAGCTGACCGTAACCATAACACCACTATTGATACAACAAATAAACTTAGTGAAGAAAAAGAGATAATTTGTGCATAAAATAATCAACACTTGAACCATACCTGCATATTAAAAAAAAAAAGAATGTACCGAAAAACCGCAACACCATAATAAAAAAGCTACAAGCAGCATGCTATAATATCACACAATCTACCCTTTCACCATCTCCCGCAGAGGGGAGAAGGAGATAAAAATTTAAGTAACATACACCCCATCTCTCAACAAAAAAAAAGGGCCCACCTGGCAGAGGTTTATTACAAGAGATCTCTTTGCCCACATCAAACTGGACGGGGTTCATGAATCGGGCTGCTTTGACCAAGGTGCGGAGGGGATGTTCCGACTCCCCCTCAGGCTCCACCTGGACTGCCGTTCTCTTCCCACGACTCGACCGCACTGAAGATTTGCTGGAAGTGCTCTCTGTGTCATCATCTTTTGTCTGAAACAGCAACAATGACCTTTTTTTGTTTCTTTGAGTAAGGAAAAGCACATTGACACAATAACAGCTATTTTCTTGTTTTAGTAAGAGTTTTACGACACTTGCAACACAATAAATAAGGTCATGTAAGTGCCGAAGATTACAGGTGTTACAAGAGAATAACATACACAAAATAGAAGGTGAAGAGATAAGGACGATAGATGTTTGATAGGACAGAAGGAGCAGACCACACCAGAGCAACCGCCAACCATCCACAGCTATTTTCTGCGTGAAAACATAAAGACAAAGGGAAAGAAACAACACAGTGAAAGAAAAGATGTAGGAGCCATCAGTGGCGCTCTCTAACCTTCCGCCACAAACAAGTCGAATGCAAAATAACAACAGACCACAAAAGTCCAGAAATTATTAGATTATGAAAATATTAGCAGAAAAAAGAACTTCACAGTAACCAAGTACACATTACTGCGAACAGCTGATAATATCCAGGAGAAAACTTAAGTATACTAAACCAATTGTACCACAAGAATAAGGACACAATGTCAAGTATATCTGAATGCAACAAGTGTTTGTCATATCGAGAGCTGCCAGGTAAACTATGGCAAGTCATGTTTTTCAAATTTTACAGGAGAAACAAAAAACCCCCCCCCAAAAAACGGATTTTCTTGAAGCGTTTTGGGTGGATAAACTTCATTTTTATAAGAAAGCCTCTCTCCTCTAACATATGAAATGCATAACTTTCCAAAGTTTACTTGGCAGCCCACGATATATGAAAGATACAACTTACACACAGAAAAATCCCAGTTTAAAATTTAAATTAAAAAGCTTTTGTCTGATGAACCATTCTTCCAGCAACGAACCGATTTTCGCAATAAAAAATTTCATAATACAAGGAATATAACCACACAAACAAATAGGGAGAAAATGTCTGTAGAGGCAATAATGTATAAAAAGTGTTCATGCTTACCTCTTGTGGTCCAATGCGACATTTGTGACACAACCATTCACCTGTCGGCAGTTCCTCCTCTGTCAGGGGCGGATCACTGCAATAATTTGCACAAAATTACAGTTAGTAAATGGGGGTGGGGGGATGTACACACTGATGACAACTGAGAAAAGAACATATAAATAAACATTCATAAAGAACACTACACCAGCAAAGGCTACCCTTTTTTTCTTTTTTTAAAGAACAAATACATACAAGTATTTATTCACTATTTGGTGAAAGAAGTATGATTTCAAAAAGTAAAGTCTGCTTCCCACATATAACTGAAAGTTGTTCAAAAGTTGTAAAATATTAGCTTCTATTTCACCAGTGATTTACTCTCACATATATTATATATAGTTATGAAAGCTCACAAAAGCAGCTTTCTTCTAATGGAGCTTTTTTGAGAAATTCACTCAAACAAAAACAGTCAGAAAGAGGTATGATCAGAACTGAGAACAGAGCTTGTCTATTACAAGGATGATTTAAATCAAATGCTTTACAACACAAAAATCTTCAATCTAAACATATGAGAACTACATGACTACTAGCTTTAGGACAAAGTCCCTAATGTTTTTATCTAAATTATTGTAAACAAAGAAAGCATCTTCTACAGTGGGTGTACACCTTTTCCTTGACACTTGCGTTTGAATTCGACAATTGGCATGGTTGTCAAAATGGAAAAACTTGTATGCTCGCCTAAAGTCTTACCATCTCCAATCATAACAAAAGCCACCAGACAAACTTACTGGCAGAGAAGGTGAAAGGCAGCCGGACATTTGTCACAGCAGATCAGATCCCCTCCTTCCTTACAACTATCACAGCAGTCATGGTTGACTGAACGGCCGGGCCGTCTGTACACATCACGCTCTCTTCTACGACGAGATCTCCTCAAGGCATCTGCACTGACTGGCGGAGCAACAAGCATCTGGATTTGCTGTGAATATAATTTTCCAGAAATATTTAACATTGCGACGAAAAAGGTTGACGATCATCCGACATCTTTGTCCCTCAAATTTTCATGCTCAAGTGTAAAAGGTCCCCTTCTGCGTGTAACAGCAACTAATCAAGGAAAGCAGAGTAACTACTGTGGAGACAAATTTATACCCATTCGTGGCAGTAGTGACCATTCTTATTTTTTTAGTTATTTGGAGGTCAATTACAATGCTTTCAACACTTTCACACAACCAATACTGAGCTCTTTTTATCTTAATAAAACCTAATCAGGTACCAGGAAAAGCAATCCAAATGAAACAAGATCTAATCTTATAGATTCTAAATAAATATAAAATGGCAGTGAGATCAGCAACAGTTCATCAGCAAGTCAAGTGATGGAAGGATTTCCCCAATGAGCGACCACCAACAAAAACAATATAGAGGAGACCTAACCCTGGCCCAACCCCTTATCCTAACCCTGTAATTCTACTTTTGTTTCATGGTCGCTCGTTACTGAATGGAAGTGGCTATTCTCATCCCGCGTGAGACTGCCAGCGTTAGCTATTCTCACCCGGTGTGAAACAACACCAGTTTTTCCTCATTTCTGAATACTCTCTATCCGTGTGGATGATCAAATTGACAAAAACAAAGAAAAAAAATGATGTTATAGCTATAAAGTAACGAAGTGACTATTCGGACTCGAGACCAAATAAAAAAAAGGTTATTCGGACTCTGATTCTTGTCCAGCATGACATCACTGCCGACTTCCTGTGACTCGTGACTCCGGCTTCCTGTCCTGCCTCACTCGTGACTCGCCTCAGGCTGGGTAGAGACCGGGATCACTTCGGGCAAAATGGCGTTAAATTGTGCAGGAGCCGAGTTTTTATCTTATGATGAATTTGAGGCCGGCCTGAAAAGTTATAGCGTTTCTAATAAATGTTTTTTTATCAAGAGGTCATCAGAAGTAATTAAAGATGGCTTGTTAGCATGTCGGGGTCGGATGGGCGCCTGCACACGTGTGGCTGTGTGTGCGTGTCGGGGAGGGGGGGGGGCACTATCGGTCCGGGCGTTGAACGTCGCATACGCGTCAGTCTCCCCTCCCCCCCGGCAACTGATCATTACAATAATAAGCTATTCTTGACGTAAATCTACGTAATGAATTGTGCGCTGGTCTATGGAATCAAAAGTTGCCGTATGCTCGGCTCTACACAGCAACACAACTTTTTCTTGGTAAAACAATCAAGATGACACAGGCTTGTGTATTTGAACGAATCGATCTTTTTTTTTACACAGCTCATAATATGCAGGTGCCAGGTGATCTGCTAATCTTCAATTTTACCTTTTTCTACCACAAAGAAAGTGGGAAACATGGGGGCTGGGGGGGAGCGTATCAATGAGGCGGTGGGCATCAGATCGGCAGATAAAGTGTGGGGGAAACTAAAAAATTGCGGAAAATTGGAAGCACTGAACGTTAGATCTATAGAACGAAGACACTTCCTTTTTTCCAGACTGTGTCCGAATATGAAAAAATGTTATTCGGACTCGAGTCCGAATAATGACGACCAAAAAGTAAAGGCCACCTCTATTCTCACCCGGAGTGAGAATAGTGCAGGCGAGTCTTGTGGTTATTCTCACCCGGTGCGTGTTCACCAAAAACCACAGAATTCTACACTATGATAACAGAAAAATTGTAGAATTCTGTGCCGTGAACAAACGTTCCATTACAACTGTAGCCTACTAAAAGCGTACAATTTTGTCTGTGGGCAGTGGAGAGAGAGAGAGAAAGAGAGAGAGGAGTAGCGCGAGAATTTCCGGGCAAAACAAAATGGCGACCCGCGTAGTTCGGCTCGATTCGAAAAGTTAAATAGCCGTAGCATCTTTGTAGACAACCAAATTAATTTACTTTTGTGTTTTAACATCATTTTTTAACTTTGTTTTGGTCAATTTGATCGTCCACACCGATAGACAGTATTCAGAAAGAGACAGAGAGAGAGAGAAGAGGGGAGGAGTTGATCTTGCGAGAACTTCCGGGTGGGTGAGAATAGCCATTTTCAAAAGTAAACAAATCTGGTCATCTACAAAGATGCTATTTTTCACTTTTCGAATCAAGCCAAACTACGCGGGTCGCCATTTTGTTTTTCCAGGAAGTTCTCGCGCTATTCCTCTCTCTCTTCCCCCCCCCCTCTTTCTCTCTCACTGCCCACAGACAAAATTGCACGCTTTCAACACAAAAGCGCTGGAACGTTTGTTCATGGCCTGTGAACGCTACACTGACACTGGTTAGCCTTATAGTATACCGGTGAGGGCACACCCGGGAGAGAATAGCCAAAAGGCTCGCCTGCGCTATTCTTACCCGGGGTGAGAATAGAGGCGGCATTACTGAATTCCTTCCCAAGCCCAATTATGCCAGCCACATCCCTCCAAGCCCAAGTGATATAAAGTATTGAAAGTGAACCTTGCCTTTTTAATTTTACCAACTGGTTTCCCCCCAAACCGTGAAAGGCACTTGATAATCACTAATGTTAATGTAACAACCAAAATGGTAAAGCGAAGACAAGACATACAATAGTCATACAGCAAAAGACCCAAATGAATTAGATCATGTAAGGCTGGGGAAAGATTGACGAAAGTAGAGACCTCGGGAAGCACAGCAGTCAGCAGCAGTGCCAGTGCAGCTGCTTTTACCACAAAATAACGGCAACCGCTAGCACCATACCTCCATGATACCCCCACTGGTATCCAAGTCCCATAATTCTGCATTCGACATGGTGCTTCAAGGCGACAAATTACAGCCAAGTCATCAATTATGAATAACTGGAATCCTTCTTCCGATGCTCAGGCATGTGCGTCGATGGAATAATCCGTCATCTCCATGGAGGAAATGACAATGTTTTTCTCCCCGACCAACCTGCTCCGTACAAGATCCACTTTCCACAGCCCTGCAAAAATTGCAAGAAATAAATATAAGATGCAAACCTATTAAAAAATGATTTCCATAAAGTGATCTTTCATTTCATAATATTCAATGCATATTTCATTGATGCAATCATATTTATAAAGCAAAAATAAAATGTATTTACTTCCAGTTACCGTGAAAACTTGGCGCAAAATGTCGGACGTTCGACTGCGCATGCGTGCATACGGGTTATCTTTTGG